GGCTGTTTATTTACATCTCTGACATAGAAGCTGGTCAGAATCTTCTAATATCACTACTCTCCTGCATCCATTTTCAGTTGTTTCTCTGCCAAATCGTGAAAGGTAAAGCTTTTTAGGTGTTTCTACTACATTCCTTGCTTTAGCAGATACCATTCAAATGCTCAGTGCTTTGTTAAGTCTGTGTATTTCAGCCTTTATATATTGTGGTTTTGTTACTTTGTATGGTAATGTGACATGACACAACAAGATGCTTTGTGTTAAAGAAAAAAGATCTCTGAGATCTCTGTGCATTTCACAATATGTCAGAAACAAGTATTATAGAAATCAGTCTCAGCCTACTCTGATTAAAAGAAAAAGGTAGTCTACCTGACTTCCTGATACTCTAATTCCTTAAAAACATACTGCTCCGGGGAACACTTGACTTGTGGTAAGTGAAGTCTTCCCCACCCATGTAGGATCATACTTCACATTTATTCGTATTTAAATTAAAAAGCTAAACAGAAATATGAAACTATCTTAAGCAAAAATGAACAAGTCTGGTCTAAGGAATCTATCCCTTATTTACTATCTTTGGAAGAGGTGGATTTTCAATTAACACTTTTAACTTTCCTGATTTCCCTTAGAGCTGATAAGAATAGAAAAAAAACGTATTTTAAAAGACCAGGAACTTAATTATTAACATAATAAAATAAAAATAATAAGAAAATATCGAACTGGCTGATTTTGTTCCAGGTATATAAGAATTGAAGCAAATCATGGGTTCTGCCATTTTTTACAACTTTTCCACAGGTTTTACTAGTTACTAGAGATTTGGATTTTTTATTTTAAAAATTTTAACTTGTCCACTACTAATATTTACTGTGGATCATTATGTTGTGCAGGAAATGAGAACTCACAAATTAGGACATACCAGAACTAAGAGTACTGATGCAACAGTACATTTATCCGCTTAACAAATTTCTATATCCTTCTACCCAAAATCCCAAGGAAAACCCCTGGCTAAGGTAAAGCCTCCTGCTTGCAAGACACCACACACAGTATAAATACAGTTCTTTCTCCCCTTGCAGCTGTTTGCATCTGTCACTTTTCCACCTTGGGTCACATATGTGTCATACAAATAAAAGCTGTAACTTTTATAAATTTTATAAATTGAAGGGCATGAAAGCAGTGCTATATTTCCTAAGCTGAACACAGAGATTTGTAACAAAAATTGTTAAGCAGTGTTACATACAATCAGGTGCCTGTATCTGCCAAAATCAGACTATGCCTGATAACTTATTACAGCCAAGTACTCTGTTTAATGACACGTAAGTCAGAGTAGTGAGGCCTTTTAAGATTAAGACATCATTTTAGCCCCACTGGCTGTTGTGGGCTCCGAACAGCTGCTTAATTTCAATATGGACTTCAAACATTTTTAGTCTGTCTTATGTGACATCCAGTACAGCAGACAAGATATATCCTGAGTTAAAAGTGGCAGAAACCTTATAAAATGTTAAAATCAATATCATTGCTCTGGAGCAGAAGGAGTAGATATTTCCTAAACTGGTCTTCTGATCCTGTTGCATTGGAGCAATTTTCATCGGAGGTAGAAGAACAGAGAAGAGTTTTCCCTTTCATGTTGCACCTCCACTTACCTGTCTCATCAAAAAAAGGCCTTTCACCATGAAACAACAATGCTTCTTAAGTTGCTTGCATTCCCCAAATAAAAATGTGAAAATATAGGACATCTGAATATCTTTTTTTTTCCTCACTAGCATATATGCAGACATTATAAAAAAAAAAGGTTGCTTTTACCACTGATGTTAAAACTCATACTAACTGAAAAAGTCTGAGATTATTTTAAGGAAATATTTTCATAAAACTATACTTTGGTTTCAGTATGGTTAAAAAAATATTCCAAATTAACCATCAGAAAACCTAACAGTATCCAGTACCTCACCAAAAAGCGATGAAGAATTTTTTTTTAATGATCTCTCAAAGCCATTACAAAGACAACAGAATGCATTCGATTTTTGAGCAACAAAATTTAAAAGGTTTCAACAGCACTACTATAAAGCTGAGAAGTTAATAGTTATGATGCCAGAAATCTTGACATCATCACAGTTAAATCAGAAAGTAACATATATCTGAAAAAGATCTGTTTAGAATATGTATGTTGTAGGCGATAAAGATGTGAGAGTGAAAACTAAAGTGAGATCCAGCACACAAAAATGAAATGCATCACAACGAAATGCATGTGAACAACCTGGCTGAATTTCCTCAAAATCTGTGCTCGATTTTTGGTACCAAATGTAAAGGGGATTTACTGTAACACACACATATTTCAAGATAATATTGTAAACCAGTCTTTGGTATTTGTACATAAAATTATTTGAAGTAGATTCAAAAGGGTATGCATTTTTCTCCAAATCATTACTATCATTTTTTTTCATGTGAGCAAGAAATGGAAAATGTTTTCTAAGGAAATTACTTCGTTTGGTAAAGATCATACAATAGCATTTTTTCATATTTTAATAGCACTAAATTTTTAGTTCTAAATAAATTTAAAACATCAATAAAAGGAGAAGCAGCTCTAGTCTGCTCTGCCTGGATTGGTACCAGACAAGAAGAGACAAAAGAGATGGCAAACCTGTAAGGATCAGAGAACTGACCTTTAACTGAATTTTGCAACTTTGTGGTCAATATACTCAGTGATCTTACATGCATGAAAGAGAACACTTCTGGAAGTAAACACCCTAAACCTACCTACTCACATCAGATGATGTATTTAAATAGAGATGGAGTTTAAAAGCAGTATTCCACATTACCCACATTGTAACTGAAAAGCCTATGTTACCTGCAGCAATAATTCCAATGGACAGTTTCTCTCTAAGGAATACATGTTTGACTGTTGTTTTTCCCTACACTGTTGTTGCAAAAAGGTCACAACTGTATAAAATAGACACGAGAGAAATCATGATCTCGTGCCAAGTCAGTCAAAATGAATGCCATTCCCAGCTTTGTGAATGACTTGTAACATTAGTAACAAAATTATTTTCTCTTTTTTGTTCATCTGTACAATGATACTTGCCTTCACCAGGTTGTTGTGGGAATTAATTATGGATATGTTAATATTTAGGAAGCATCATAAGCTGTATCCATTCCTACAAAAATCCGTCCTACAGTAGCTTGACTGTTTTTCAGGACAACAATTATCTATCTTTTTTTATTTGTTTGTACAGTTCTCAGAACAATAGGGTCTTAATCCTTGACTTGGACAGCTAGACACCATTGAAACATAAATAATTAGAAAACAATATGAGTTGAGAGGTTTTAGCGAAGTGTTATACTTCCCAGGGCTCCAAGGCACAGAGCATTTAAATGACCAGAATTTAGCCAAAGCAAAGGGAACTGGGGACAAGGAACCATAGCTTTGGTTGCTTCTAACAACTTTGGTGGCTTGTTCTTGAAAGAGCAGGGATACAAAAAAGAAGGCTGCTGGAATGCATCTGTGAGAAAAGAACACTACTTGGAGGAGCATGGGGACTGCAAATATAGTTGTCTTTTGAGTGAGACATTTAGGGCAAGAGCTTTTTGTGTATTTGCCAGTTCTACTGTATCTGAAAATTATGAACAAACACAGTAGAAAAAATGGGGGGTTGTTTGGGCGGGGTGTTTTGAGAAACAGCACATAAACACACAATTTGCCAAAAGAGATACACATCAACAAGAAAGAAGGAGTTGTGTAACCAATGGTAGGTGTTTTCTCTTGAGATGTGTTCTGTGCACATCTAGGCTGCCTTTATCATGAGTATACACACTACATTCAAGGTGGAGTCTCCAGAAGTATTAGCTGTGTGTCATGATATACACCAAGAACATCCCCCTCCTTCCTATCAGAAGTAAAAAGGTTGGAGCCAGTCAAATTGCTCGAGTAGCTCCCAATTTTGGTCCTTCATCTACAGCATCTAATAGCTTCAAGTACCGAGCATAAAGGATATGACATGGAGCTTGTGCCAACATTTCCAAGTAAAACAATTATTGAACAATTAAATAACAGTTTCTTCTTCATTGCCTGTCCTCACATTTGTTCCGTTGCTGCTGACTTCTAAGCTTTGTACTCTAAAAGTGAGTATAAGAAAATTGGACTTGTTTAGAAATGAAAGACTGATGGGAAGTATGACTGCCAGCATTAATGTGAAAAATAATTCCTTCCAAGTGACAAATGAAGAAATGCTCTGCTTCCAGTCAGGCTGGAAGATACCTGGAGGACAAGCAATTTCCACAAGGTGATGAATGAAAAGGAAGTAGAACGCTGAGACGAAAGGCTGGAGTGCTTCCAGTAAAACATGAATGTAGGGTGTGGCAAATGAAAGCAGTCTTCAGGGCAGAAAAAGGCAAAAGAGTCAGGTTTAATACACCACCTACAATTTTTATTTTCCTAAATAAAGCTGAAATTAAAGCAATATATTAGGGAAAAAATGGAGAATTGCAACAGAGACTATGTAAACATTATTTTCAACCACTAATCAGACTATGTAGAATACACATGCAACAAGAAACAAATTAAACATTTACCTAGATATAGCAAATTAATATTACCCCAATATTTTAGAACAGCCTGTATCCCATTAAATTATTATATAATGTCATTATTACATTGTGCATCCAAAACTCTTTGATACTCAGTCAACAACACATACTTAATATATACGTAATTTTAAACACATTAACCCACTCACTTAAGTAATCTACTTAATGCACAATAGAAATTATGACAAATATGTCTTTCCAACTGTTTAGATCCATCAACCCCTCTTGTATTTGGCAGTTTGATATGAAAAAAACTTCAGTAGATTGGAATGATAAGGATTTTTCAAAAGACTGAGAAGTAATATGCATAGTTTGATGTGATCTGAAATAGATGCTGAATCTCTGTTTTTGAAAAAAGAGAAATAAAGTTATCTTTCTTTTTAACTGAATTAAATTGAAAAAAGTCTTAGAAAGTCCTAATATCTTACCTGTTGATATGCTTCATAGATTACATCAAACAAGAAAGCTTGAGGCATTTCACTCGCTCTGTACCTGGCACGTTCCAATGAGTGGTCCAAACAGCCATCTGCAGCAGAGGCAACAACAGTAGAAACTAGAGGACGAATTGCTCCTGCTGCCTGGGGAACAAAACACAAAGAGAAACCTAAATGTTATTAATATTAATGTATATGAGATAGCTGTAGTCAAAAAAAGCTTTAAAATACATTTTTTCCCTTCTTTATCTTTTTACATCTCATAATGCATGTCATACTACCTAGTCTGTATGAGACTTTCAACACTAACATAGCAATGGAGGACTACATAAGTACACAGGGAGGGACAATTTAAAAAAAAAAAATCTTAAGTCCTTCATAAACATCTACTGCAAATACATATACAGATCTGAAATGTTCATTTTTCAGACTTTCTTCTGCAGACATAGTAGGTGGTTTCTGTAAGGACAATTCTAGACCTATTCAGATATCAAACAGCAGCAGACATACCTGAGAGGTCTTGACAATCTACAACACCTATTGCTTTCACAGACTTCAATTTGGCTAAACTGTTCAAAAACAATATACAAGAAAACTTTCAGATAATTGAGCTTGTTCCTCTGTTCGAATTCACCCTGTGAAATACTGAGCAACCACACTTACCAGTGAAATCACAGGGAACACAGCATTTGAAAGTATTCAATATCAAGCACCACTGTGCTCCAGAAGAGATACTTAAATGCTTATATTTCAGTTTTGCTTAGGTTTGAAACCAATTAAACATATATCTTTGATCTTTTCATCAACATATAGTATTAAAGATCTATGGCATCTCTGAAGCAGAACTCTCCTAGCTGTCTTTAGGCATTCTGATACACCCACACTGCATCAGTCACTTATCAAATGTTCACATGAACTTTAAGTGAAGCTTAAAACAACTCGGACAAGAGTTGTCCATACAGTAATGAAGAAAAAGCACAGTGGCAGAACACTGCTTATCAAGTCACAGAGCAAACAGCATGCTCCCCAATGATGCTAACCATTGAGAACAGCATGTTCACACTCTACTGCTTATTAATAATTTTTAAGAATAGTAAAAAAAAAAATAATTGATGCTGTTTCAAAACATTTGGAACCGTACAACATCTTAAATCAGGATATGTAAAAAATCATCCCAAGGCCTAATTCTGCCACTTTTCACAGCTGCCTCGGAAGATTTTCTGAGGCTTCATGAATTTTGACACAGAAAAAGAACAGGTCCCTTATCACATAACAGTGCTGCTATTAATGATTTTATTTATCTCTGTTGGCAAATTCTGCTCTCATACATGAATCCTGTCCATTCTTAGAAGATTTCTGACCTCAAATAAGCATACAGTGGTAGAAGGAGACAAAAAAGTGAGTCCAAAATTTCTGTAGTCTCAGAAGAAAAGAACTAGTTGTCTTCCCTCCCCCTTTCACACTACTTAACAATAAAACAAAGGGGAATGCAGTCAGAGTGTTGAGCCCTTTATGAGCTCTAAATCACAGCTCTTAGTTCATTCTTTTACAGAATAAGAACAGACATGTGAACCAATTTCTCACACTCGAAGAGTTCTGATATGCATGAGCTACCGGGGAAGGATGAAGGGAGAGAAAAGATTCAAAAGATTCGTGTGACAGAAGAAATATCTGAACTACTTTCTCAAAATCTGAGAAGCACTTTTACTTTGTAATACATGGAAAGAGATATCTATATAAAACACTACACAGAGCAAAACACTATCATCCAATGGCAAAATGAGGTACAGAAAGATCAGTAAAACTGTGAAATCACAGGTCTGTCTCTTAAGAGGTAATCTAGTTCTTCTTTCTGACCCAGGCAGGATCAATTTTACTTCTGTAATAGAAAAGACAAACTCAGAAAACTAAACACCACTATAATTTTAGTAATACATCAATGTATTAAATGAGGTGTAAATTTAACAGATGTACTTAGAGCAAAAGCTGTGCATAGCAGAAGTAGAGAGACTAAATTATCTGCAACTTGTCCCCTATTTCCTACGATTCAAGGACATGGATTATTACATCTATATCCCAGCTGCTGGGCATTTGGACTATGTTATTTTGCTCTGCTGTCATATTTTAATTGGTCAGACACATACACAAAAACTGTAAAATTAGAAGGTCATGGGAAAAGAGAGAGAGCAGCAGCTTTTCTGTAATTAGCTGTATATTTGATTTTTTTTTTTTTTTCTGGAACAGTTACCATTCCAGAAAACCAGTTAGCAAAAGAGAATTCCTTAGGCTGTTCCAATACTTTATTACAGTTTTTAACAATCATGTCATGTTACATTTTAGGCATAAAACAGGCTGGAAGAATACAATGTGACTTGCGTAACCAAATCTCACAAGTGAAACATCCACTCTGAGGAACAAAAAGCCAAACTGCAATTCTAAATAAAATTGAATACTCAAAATTGTATTCTTAAAAGAACTCTGAAACACATTGTTTTCTTGCCATCTGGTTTATTGCACAATAAAAATTTATGAATGTCTATATTGGTATCTTTGTGTCAATACTGAACCACAACTCCTGCTCTGCTGAGGACTAGCTCTTCCAAAGATTCAGAAAACTAAATCCAAATGCAACATTGTTTTAAACCCTCCAATTAACTTCTCAAGTAATTGAAAGCTTCAGAGCATGTAAAGTTTAAAAAATGCATTTTTCAAACAACTATAGTTTGGCTTCACATTACACCAGAACTGAGTCCAGTGTGACAGGCTCAGTTTCTCACCTGTCTTCCTGCCATTTCAATGAAAAATCACAAGTTGGGCATAATAAGATTTCTTCTGCAGCAGGTCCACCCAAACTATACCTGACGCTGACTGAAAACATGAAATTAAATACAAAGAATAAGATTCATGTCTGACTTCTGACCAGCAAGGGACAGAAATTCTATGTGTGCAGTAACATGATAATTAGCAGTCATTTGATTTAAAAAAAATAAACAGGTTTTATTCCAAAAAAGGACAATTCAGTCCATGACTGAAAGCAGAATGGAGAGCTCTAGTGCTTAGCAAAGCCAAGAAGTTTCTAATGCACAGAAAACCTTCATATGATGAGCAGCTGGTATCCAAAAGCCCACAATCCATAAGCTAGAGCATACCTGCTAAGGTGCGGCACTGAGTCAAAACCTTAAAATCCTGAGGCAAGATACAGAAATTGGTTGTTTTGCTCTGTACTGGCTCATGTTTCTGCAGGACCTTTCTCTGTCTCAGAGCACCACCCATATGGGCTCCCTCAACCAGACGATGTGACCCAACACAAGGCTGTGTCTACCACCTACCTCAGCGACACATGAAATACATTAGTTCCTAAGGCCACTTTCAGACTGGGTGAAACTGGGATCAAGCAAGGGAAAACACTGGCCTGTGTATGCCCTGCACTATTTTCATATGGCACAAGAGAGCTGAGTCCCTAACACAGGAAACCTTGCATCTGCAGTACTGCTGGTATATGCCAACACAGCTGCCAAACCCACACTGGCTTACACAGACCTCACCGCACGTGCTTCTGCTTCCAAAACTGGCTCATGGGTATCTTCATTCATGGTGTAAGCATCATATTTGGCATGTAAAAACGGAAGAATTGAGTTTTGTGAGTTTTGTTCTTGTGTAAAGGCCAAAGAAGGGCACAGTTTAACATGTATGGCTCGTTCTGCGGTATTTCCTTCTGGTTAGTCTCCTCCCCCACTCTGAGAAGCACAAAGCCTTTTCTGAATTCCACTCCCAGCAGCCTTGCAATGAACTAAACAGGGAATTTTTTTTAGGAGCTTAAGACAGGGTTACAGACTAATTTTTTTTAGTTCAGAAACTTAAACATTAGGGCACAGTAGGGACAATAATACATTAAGTCACTACTGGGTCTTACACTGACACTTCCCTACTCAGAGGTCTCCTCTTCCAATTTCTAATCATTATGACCCAGATCTCAAGCAGGTTTGCTTTCCAAATCATATACAAAATGCATCATACACTCTTCCTGAATGTGAAGTGGATAGTTAATCTGAATTTCTTTAAATGTCCACTTTACAGCCTTCAAGCCACTCCAGTCCAAAGACAGTTAAGCAAGCACTAGTTTTGGTGAACCTAGCATGTCCAGGAAATGTATACACTTCTTTCCCCCAGTTTTGCATATTTCGGGAAATAAATCAGTTAAAGTATCAAAATATTCCTTCATAGGACAGCAAACATTGAAGAGAATACTGCTAACCAGTTAGTTTTCCTCTGCAAACAAAATACTGTAAGAAGAAACATCCTTTTAATCTATCACTTCCTTAAAATAATCCTAAAATGTTGTAGGAACACAGAATCCCATCAACTTCAGGGGAAATTACAGATTCACATCACTCAGAAGCAAGTTCACCCATCCATCTGCTGAAAGTGAACCCGCCTCCAGATGCTTTCAGAAACAGTGTCTTTTATGACCCATTTTTAAACAGCACAAATCAAAAACATTTACAAACAAGTTCTCAGTTTTGTATTCAGTTTTTTTACTGAGACCACGGTATGCATTCAAGATTTAAAGATTCAATGGTGACTGGAAAAAGGTAGAGAATGAAGTGCGTCCTGCACTTCGGCATAACAGGATATGACAAATATTTTCAAGAGATCCAAGGCGTACTGACTCACCTTTTCACTAAACAGTAACATTGTATTGTTCTCAGTTTATGATACTTCTACTCTGACAAGAAACTCTTTAGATGCATGTATTCAGTGAATCCATAACCAGGGTGTGCTTTAAGATCAGATAACACAGTCAGTTCAAGGAAAGTTAAATCCAATATTAATGACATCTTTTATTACAAAATGAAGTATGAATGTTTAGACCACAGAAGCGTACACACAACATAGCAACTTGGCTAACACAACACAGTATAGCTTAATTTTATTGAAAATTCATAAAAAATAAAAATCCTAATTTTGTTTAAAATAAGGTAATATAAGGTAATAAAATAAAGAACCCAAACAGAACCAATTAAAATTTCCATAAGTATTATGGGGCGGGGCAGGGAGGGGGGGATGGAGTTTATCTCACAAGCAAGAAATCATCCAGCTTACAACAACACAGTGCAATATTCATCTGAGACCAATACTCCCCA